AAAAACATTGGTTTATAGAACACATCGTTTCTTCACAATTTGACTACTACGGTCACCGAATCCTTGGAGCAAGTAACCAGCCAAGGTTGCTTCAGCTAAGGGTTGCAGATGTTTTGTTTGGCTTGCATGAATTAAACCATGCTTCCAGTTTTAAAGTACACTTGAGCCACAGTTGCTAATAGTTTCAAGCTGATGTTTGATTCCCTTGCATGAATTGAACATGCTACTCTGAAATCAGAGAGCAGACAACTGTAGGTTTATTTTTTTGTTAAAGCATAGTAGCTACTAGCTACTGTATATGCAATGCGAGCAGATTGTAAAATATGCAAACCCCTGATGTATACTAGGAAGTGTTTGTTCATTAGTATGGAAACATGTGTCGTAGTGTCTAGGACCCACCAGGTGAGCTGATCCACCCTTTAGTTTTCCACCTTTTACTTTTAGCGTTTACTTTTCTTGTCCTTTCCTACGGATTTTCATTATTTCTCTTCTTTATATGTTCAAATTGTAAAGGAGGTAAAATGCACATGTATGTCCTTGATGTAGATCTCTGTGATTTATATATGTGCTCACGAGGACATTCCCATTGCATCTGAATTGACAAGTTGAAGAATCTGGTCATTTTGTGCTTGCCTACAGAACTGATATTTGTTGGCCAAACAAAAACGACTGATGGTTGATTGTCTCAACCACGAATGAGCATTTCTGGATTGTAGAACAAAGAGGTGCCTTATTTTCCTTTTCAATCATCTACATGTTTGTCTCTACATTTGCACTTCTCCTCGAGTGTATTGGTTTCTAACACCATTTTTAAGCCCCGTGGAACCTTCGACCAGTAAAAAAATGTTCAAAGAAACTTGCTCTGAGCTCTGTGTGATCAAGTTTATGTGTTTCTGTTGTACAGTGTCCCGGGCAAAAGGACCAAGTTCTGGCAGGTGGGCATCGGGAATCCAGCTGGTTGGCTTCAGCCTTTGGGGTGCTGCCGGCTAGCGGCGCCGCTTCTGAGTGTCTCCTCATCTGACTCCCGTGGCACCTTCGACCGGTAAGATTTCCCCTTCTCTCTCTCTCACAGTCCGATCGATTTTTGTTTATTAATCTTTCTTATCCATAATGATTATCCCTCTTTGTTTTATTGTATTGTTAGCCAATTAAAAGTATATTGGTCTATATTTTCCTTTATGGTATATATTATGCGAGTTATTTCTAACACATCTTGATTATATTTTTAGAATAGCTGCTCCTATGTTTTCTTCAGTGCCTGTTGTACTTTGTTTAAATGTTTCTTCTTGGTAGGATCAGTTGTAAATAGTGGATGAAGAATACCTTTGTGAGCTTAAGCATTTGTTTTCTGGCGATGTGGTGTTTTCTCTTTACAGATGATCCTTCTGCTTCCTTTTCTAATAAATAGGCAAGTTGGATCCAGTGTGTATCCATGTGTGTTGGATCCAGGGTGAATACTCAATGAAACCTGGGAAAGTGGCCTCTATTTGACATTGTCGTGCTGAAAGATTCATTCACATGTCTGTAACTTTGTATCTTGGTTCTGTTTCTATTGTTAGTTTCAAAAGATATATTCACTTCTTGGCGACTTTTAACTTGTAACATATCTACTCTTAGTGTAGATATATTTTTTATTCTAGCTGCATTGCTGTGAATGTACCCTATGGTCAAATATGAATAGTTCCCTGAATCTCTCTCATTTACGTCTGGTGTTCCTGTATGTGGGTGTGCAATTTGTGCTTGGTCCCTGGATCCCTCTCATGTATGTCTGCAAATTAAGTATTTCTTTTAGTTTACAGTAGTATTTGGAGTAGTAGTAATTTTTTTGTTCCTGAATCCCTCTCATGTATGTCTGCAAATTAAGTATTTCTTCAGTACAATAGTAATTGGAGCAGTAGGAGATTTTTTTGTCCTGTGAATCCTTCTCTGTATGTATAAAATTAAGTGCTGTATTTCTTTCAGTTTATAGTAGGTATTGGAGCAGTAGTAATTTTTTGTTTCCTGTAGGGAAAGGCTGCGTACAATAGACCCAAAGTGGTCGGACCCTTCCCTGGACCCTCCGCAAGCGGGAGCTACATGCACCGGGTTGCCTTTTTTTAATACCTCTCATGTATGTCCGCGAATTAATTATTTCTTGCAGTTTACAGTAGTAATTGGAAGATATTTATAGAGTTAGGTACGTTTTTGTTGGTTACCAAATGAGCACATATCATTTGGATACATGACGTGATCTGTAGCTATACAGGTTAATTAGTAATTAGGTTATACCACATCAGTGTATTTTAATCTATAGGGTTGTGAATGATTAAGATTCATTAGAATCTAACTTGAAATCTGGCAGGTCTATCTTATTCCATAAAAGAAGAAAGATAGAAAATTTAATTTAGGTTGGTAGTTACCATTCACTACAATTTAGGGATTACAACATTTCCAAATCTGTACAGTTTAGACATTATGTACGTTGACTCACTTTAACTGAAACTGAAGACTGTTGCATGGTCGTACATGTGCTTACTTGATGTTGTGCTAAGCCATTTTGTGAGAAATTGAGATTGAGAAATGATGTTATGTTATCGCTATGTCATTCTATGAGGACAGAGAATTGTGTACTTATTTTTATTTGATGTTATGTCATTTTGTGAGAATCTGAGAGCTTATTTGGTGATTTGAACTTGTCCTATGTCATTTTGAGAGAATAAGAGCTTATTTGATGTTGTGCGCTTTTTCTATGTAATTTTGTGAGAACTTGGGAGCTTATGTGAATGTTGTGCAATGTTTTATGTGTACGTGTTGAGAGAATCCGATGGATATCCGTACTTGATAGATATTCACCGGGTTTGGACATGGACATAATTTTCTGGCGATGGATTTTTCCATGGACGGGCACATAATGTCTTCATGGGTTTGATATTGTTCAACCCGAGCCGAACCTGAACCATTGCCATCCTTATTCTTTCTCGTGTGATATAATGTTGTTTCTTCTGCTCAACACCATCTGGACTATGTACCACTGCAACCTGCTTTACGGTTTGGATCTGAGCACCGGAACGTGGTGCTGGACAGGGCAGGATGCCCTAAGACCGCTCTCTTTGGAATTCTAATATACTTGGAGATAGAAGTGAAAGTTGAGGTCCAACATTGTATCGTCGATCACCACCTTAATAGCATTGTTTTATGAAATGCACTAACGCTCCGAGAAGGTTGTTCTGAGTATATTTGTATTTTTATTTGTATTTTTGTTATAACAAGTATGATTTGGTATGAAATTTGCCAATGTTGTGTGATAAACCTTGATGTTTAATAGTGAATCATTAGTAAGTATTTAATAACCTCCTTTTTGAGATGTTATCCTTTGTATTCAAGTTGTTTTTGGCATAACTTTAGCCTATATTGAGTGGCTGCCTTGATTATATACGGATGTGCTGCAAACTTAGTTTTAGATTAGGACATTGCTCTCTTATGTTTGTGGTCTTAGTACTGAACTTAGTGGTTACTTTTCGTGGTCTCATGATCGTACTGCCTTATAATCTCACGCCGACGTTGAACTCAATGATGTCTTCTATTAGAAGTGAATGTTTCTATTAGAAGTGAATGTTTCTTCTTTTTTTTATTCTGTTGTCCAATTTCAATACGTACGCTAAATCAGGATTCGTACTAACTTGAGCATTACCGGCTTGACCACGGCGTTGGGACCGGCACCCTTGCGCCAAAGCGCAATGCTGATCTAGTTCTAGTTATGCAAAGACAAGGTCCATACTCACTGTGTTTGTATCCTTTAGAATAAAAACAACCTTTATCAAGAATGACTAATCAGATACTCCGATCTTGTTGTTTCCGCCCTTTTGTCTCGATACGGAGCAACTGTAGTCGTCGTCTTCATTCTGTTGCCGTCTTCCTTTTTTAGCAAAAGGATGTTATGCGGCTGGGGGCGTCGTCGTAATCATATTCCATGGGACATTCGTCCAGCTGTACACATGACAAAAATCACTACGTTCTATATATGGCAAACATGAATCACTTTGTTTTCCAGAGGAATTTTTTTCCCAGAGACTACTACTACAATGTTCACGACCTGGCCTGCGAGGAGGCACGCGTGCAGCTCCCTCTTCTGCCACCTCCATGGCGCCGGGAGCGCCTTGCTGTACCGCGTGCTGGATGCGGTGACGTCGGCGAAATGCGAGACGCGGCGGGCTCGCAAGCAGGTCAAGGTGCTCGAGGCCCTGGACGTCGCCGGGACGCAGCTCTACCACTTCACCACCATCGTCATCGCCTGCATCGGCGGATGGCAGGCTCCCCGCTAACGTTGCCGGCGCCGTCAGCGGCGTGGCGCTCTGCGGCACGGTCCTGGGGCAGCTCTTCTTCAGCTATCTCGGCGACAGGATGGGGCGGAAGCTGATCTATGGCGTCAAGCTCAAGCTCATGGTGGTGTGCTCGCTCGCGTCCGGCCTCTCCTTCCACACCAAGCCCAAGTGTGTGGTAGCCACGTTGTGCTTCTTCCGCTTCTGGCTCGGCTTCGGCATCGGCGGCGACTACCCGCTTTCAGCCACCATCATGTCTGAGTATGCCAACAAGAGGACTCGCGGAGCCTTCATAGCAGCAGTCTTCGCTATGCAGGTGTGTAAGTAAAACTATCACAATATTTTTTGGAGCCTGTGCCGTATCTCATTCTTAATCTACAGCCCGCTTCACTTTTCTCTCGTCTAACTCAGTCATAATATTTCAATCCTTATTTTGTTATGCTTGCTCTGCATATATAAAGGGTCTTGGGAACCTGGCTGCTGGGGCTGTTGTTTTGGTGCTCTCTGCGAGCTTCAAGAACACGGCCGCGTACCGGCGTACGAGACTGACCAGTTCGGGCAAGCAGACTACGTGTGGCGCATAGTACTCATGCTCGGCGCCGTTCCTGCCCTGCTCACCTACTACTGGCGCATGAAGATGCCTGAGATGGTGCGCTACACCGCGCTCATCGCCAAGAACCTCAGGCTAGCGCGGCGTCTGACATGGCCGCGGTCCTCGACATCGACTTTGTGTCCGACATGGACGCGGAGGCCGTCGTTAAGCAGGACGAGTTCGGCCTCTTCTCCATGGAGTTCCTTCACAAGCATGGCCGCCAGCTCCTCGGAACCACCGTGTGCTGGTTCGTCCTCGACGTCGTCTTCTACTCCCTCAACCTCTTCATGAAGGACATCTTCAGCGGCATCGGCTGGTTTGGAGACGCGGCCGAGATGAGCCCTCTCGAGCAGACCTACAAGATAGCCCGCACGCAGGCCATCATCGTGGTCGGCGGTTCCCTGCCAGGGTACTTCCTCACTGTCCTCTTCGTTGACCGCATCGGCCGCATCAAGATCCAGCTCATGGGGTTCATCATGATGACCATCTTCATGATCGGGCTTGCCGCGCCCTACAAGTTATGGTCCAAACCCAGCATGCACGCAGGCTTCGCCATCATGTATGCATTGATCCTCTTCTTCGCAAACTTCGGCCCCAACTCCACCACCTTCATCCTGCCCACCGAGATATTCCCGACGCGGCTGCGGTCGACGTGCAACGGCATATCGGCTGCCGGGGGTAAGTGTGGTGCCATCATCGGTGTTCTCTGGTTCCAGTATTCTCATGCGAGCATCCGGAGCTCTCTCCTTCTTCTGGCAGGGTGCAACCTGGTTGGGGTCATGTTCACTCTTGCCTTGCCGGAATCCAAAGGGATGTCACTCGAGGATATCACCGGGAAAATGGAGGAAGAAAGCGAACCATCTCAAGAATCTGCAACGGTTGCTGAAGTTGAGTTCATCCACAGCATGGAAATTTTGTAACTAGTACCATTCATCCCGGTTGCTGATTTTAGTGTCTTCTCAAAATTACTCAAACATTGGAAACTTGTATCTTTGAGATGTTTGGATTATATAGTGTTCGATGTGACATGGGATGGGATAGACTCCAAACGAAGTGGCAATAACACAACTAAATCTAGGCATAGCAAATAGTAGAGCAACTTTCAGTTTTACCCCTTCCTTTACTCCTATCCATATTACTTGCCGCCGGTTCAGTACAACTGTATTAGAGAATTGTACTAGAGCAGTGACAAGTAATCCCTATGAGCCTACAAGATATTGAACCCAGGACCAGGGAGGTTGTGAGCACGTTGTTAGCCACTCGAACCAACCAGATTTGGTGATACATATGTAGCACAGTTTCTTATCAACAAGAATTGATTTACTGTAGCAGACCAAACCACCACTGTACGACCGGGCGGGACACTGTAGTGAACGGACCGATGGGATATTGTAGCTAATGTGTTTTTTCAATTTCTAAAATGTTTTTTGAAACAAGAACAATTTTAAAAATCAAAAATGTTTTTCAAAATTTGACCTTCTTTTTGAAACGCGAACATTTTTTAATTTTGTGAACATTTTTTCAAATTTAGATCATACCGAACCTAGGATCCTGCAACTATTCTTCCTTCGTTCAAGACTCGCTTTTCTTGCGGGTTGAATGAGTGAGCCTTGGCCATACATACTGGGATTCAACAGTTAACTTTGGAGTCTGTCCTAAAGCCCTATGAACATTTTTTCAGAATTGTGAACATTTTCTGAAAGTGCGAACAATTTTTCAAAATTTGCGAACATTTTCTTGGAATGAACAATTTTTAAAATTTCAGAATATTTTTGAAAAATGCGAACACTTTTTCAAATTTTTGAGAAATATTTAAAAATACAAACATTTTTTAAAATTTAAGAACGTTTTTGAACTTTACAAACATTTTTTATTTTCTTGGGCATAAGCATTTTTTTCTATTTTTTCGTTTTTCTTCTCTCTTCTCGTTAATTCATTTTCCTCCTTTCTGAACTTTATTATAATTCTTGAAACCTTTTCAAAAACTTGAAAAAATCTTTGGAATACCAGAAAATGTTATTATTTTCAAATATTGTTTACATTTTTTTAAATCTAGAATTTGATTAAAAATAAACCCTTTCTTGAATTTTTTGTTCACACATTTTAAAAATGTTTTTGCTTCAAAAAAGTTGATATTTTTTTTAAAAATGTACTGAAATCTTTGTTCAAAATTTTCATCAATTGTTGGGAATTTGTTACCTATTTTCTCAGTCCTGAAGATATGCAACAAACAAAGAAAACTATGAAAGGAAAAGGTATTAAAGCTGAAGATGTTAAGAATTTACTTCCTGTTGAAGAAATACATGACCTTAATATACCACCTATTGAAGAAATACATGGTCTTGATAACCCGACACAGGTCGTAAAGGTAAATTCTCTCTATAGATATGATAAAGTTGAAATCCCGTCTACTAAGTTTGCTAGCCAATGTTTGGATGAATTTGATGACTTTATGGCTAGACAAGAAAACTTTAATGCTTATGTTGGTAGAAAATTGAAACAAAATGCTTATATGATTGGACACTTGAGTGATTATATGGCTAGAGTTAAAGGTGAACTTAAACTCATTAGCAAACATGCTTCTATGGTTTACACTCAAGTAGAACAAGGACTTAAAGCTCAAAATAATTTGCTTAATGAATTAAATAATAAACATGACTTTGCTGTTAGAGTGCCTACTAGAACGGGTACAATGACTCAGGAACCTTTGTATCCTGAAGGCCACCCTAAGAGAATTGAGCAAGATTATCAGAGAAATAATGTAGATGCACCTAGTCCTTCTAAAAAGAAGAAAAAGAAAAATGATAGGACTTTTCATGCTTCTAGTGAACCTGTTGTAGACACGCCTGAGAATCCTAATGATATTTCTATTTCTGATGCTGAAACACAATCTGGGGATGAACATGAAACTAGTGATAATGTTAATGATAATGTTCGTGTTGATTCTCAACCTAGCAATAATAATGATGTAGAGATTGAACCTGCTGTTGATCTTGATAACCCACAATCAAAGAATCAACGTTATTATAAGAGAGATTTTGTTGCTAGGAAGCACGGTAAAGAAAGAGAACCATGGGTTCAGAAACCCATGCCTTTTCCTCCTAAACCATCCAAGAAAAAGGATGATGAGGACTTTGAGCGCTTTGCTGAAATGGTTAGACCTATCTTTTTGCGTATGTGTTTGACTGATATGCTTAAAGTGAATCCTTAAGCTAAGTACATGAAAGATATTATTACAAATAAAAAAAAGATATTGGAAGCTGAAATTTCCATCATGCTTGCTAAGTATACTTTTAAGGACGGAATACCTAAGAAACTTGGAGATCCAGGAGTACCAACTATACCATGCTCCATTAAAAAAACTATGTCAAAACTGCTTTATGTGATCTTGGAGCCGGTGTTAGTGTTATGCCTCTCTCTTTATATTGTAGACTTGAATTGAATAAGTTGACACCTACTGAAATATCTTTGCAAATGGCTGATAAATCAACCGCTATACCTGTCGGTATTTGTGAGGATGTGCCTGTTGTGGTTGCAAATGTTACTATCTTAACGGACTTTGTTATTCTTGATATTCCCGAGGACGATAGTATGTCGATTATCCTTGGTAGACCCTTTGAATACTGCAGGGGCTGTTATTGATTGCAACAAAGGTAATGTCACTTTTCATGTTAATCGTAATGAGCATATGGTACACTTCCCGAGGAAACAACCTCAAGTTCATAGTATCAATTCTACTTGAAAAATTCCAACCATTATTATAGGAGGTTTTGAATTTCCTCTTCCTACTGTCATGAAGAAATATGATATTCTTATTATTGGGGATGTGCATATTCCCCTTAAGGTAACCTAGTGTTATTCAAAATTTCCGATTCCATGTTATTCTTATTATTGAAAATTTCAAGTTTGTTAACAAGACTTGATCAACCTTGTTAGTGAATTCTTTTTGATGAGCATGAGATGGATGAAGTTAGAAGGCACAACCTTCTGTACCATATTTTTACTTTCTGTTATTTAGATTAAATAAAGCAAAATTAGTATTTTCTGTCTTTTTTTGAATTATCCATGCAATAAAAAATACCCCGAAAATAAAAGTTCTCCAAATGTCCTGAAAATTTAGTATGATTTTTTATGGAATATTTGAGAATGTATGGCACTAAGAACACAGTAGGGGGAGCTGGTACCTGGCCACGAGGGTCCAGGGCGCGCCCACCCCTATAGGGTGCGCCCCCTGCCTCGTGGGCCCACGGTGGCCCCCCTCCACTTATTCCTGCACCCACACACTTCTTCTTCCTCCCAAAAAATTCACCATCCAGCTCAAACACGAGTTTTAGCTCATTTTGCTGCCATTTTCGATCTCCTTGCTCAAAGCTCCATTCACAAAACTGCTTTGGGGGATTGTTCTTTGGTATGTGACTCCTCAAATGGTCCAATTAGTTTTTGTTCTAGTGCTTTATTCATTGCAAATTTTTGCTGCTTAGGTGACCCTGTTCTTGAGCTTGCATGTCAAATTTATATGGTCCCAAGTAGTTCTAATGCATGATATAGTTTCTAGGCACTTGCAGGAGTAGTTGCTATCAATTTTATTGAGTTTACTTCACTTTATTTTGAGTTACGAAAAATTTCAGAAAAAGATGAAGAGATTTTTCTTGAGGGGCTCTTCTAGCCAAGGCTCTAAGGATAAACAAGCTAAGGAGAATGAAAAGCCCAAGTATAATCTCCCTCATGTGGCGGAAGTATGGCCGTGTGAATGGCCTTGTGATGATTTCTTGAGAGTATCCGGGATTCATGATGATTTTTATTCGTTGGTTGATAATGCGGGCCTCACCGACTTCCTCCACGACCAGATCGAACAATATCTCTTACTCACCAATTCTTTCGTGCAAAATTTCTACTTTTATCCTAAGAAATCACCTCCTTCAGTAGAGTTTTATTTATATGATGTGGCTAGGGAGATGTCACTATATGAGTTTTGTGCGGTTTGCAAGATACCTTTCGGGGGCAGCTTAGACGAACCACATCGTATTATTTATACTATTACTGTAGGGGAAACGAGGAAGGTTTTCGATGCAAGAATTACTAGCATACACTTTCCTGTTCTACGTTACTTTGCAATATTTGCTAGTAGATGCTTAATTGGTCGCGGAAATTGTGGAAATCTTAGTGTTCGGATATTATTATTTTGTTTCATGCTTTATTTCATGATAACTCTGTTAGTATGGGCGCTATTATTGCTAAACGATTAAGTCTGAACCGTACAAAAGGCCCCATCTTTGGAGGTATCTATGCTTCATGCCTTGCTAAACACTTCAAGATACCTATTAGGCATTACGAGAAAGAGGAAAAACTGCTGCCCCCTACTTTTCTAGATTATAAGAGCATGGTAGCACATGAGTTTATTGTTAAAAATGATGAGAAGATGCTTAAGTATAATTTGAGATTTCATAAGAAACACAGTGAAACTATTATCCTGCCTGCATCCTCTTTGTTTGATTTAACTGCAGGCACTTACCTCGTCTTGCCGGAGGCCGTTTATGCGCACCAAGGCCAGACATCAGCTCCAGAGCCCGAGTTGGAACCACCACTTGACCCTTATCATCCATCGTTTTATCAGTGGGATCCGGAGGAGATCGCCAACCAGTGGCAGTATGATGACACTCCTCAGTACACTGAAGAGAGTAGCCGCGATCCATGGGCATAGACCAACTTAGGCAAAAAGCCTAAGGTTGGGGAGTACGTATTTGTCACCGACATTACATTCATGTTCACACACTCATTCTTGTTGTCGGTGCTTATACTCTTTCATTGTACTATCCATGCTAGTTTAATTTCTTTTTCTCGCTTTCTTCTTGTGTGTTTGAATAACCTTAAGAAAAACCAAAAAAATAGTTGTAGCATTTAGCTAGTTTAATTTCCATGC